CCCAGTAAGCTTGCCGCATCCTTTGCCCGAGAGAGAAGTTTCCCTGGGCACTGAAGACCACCTTCCAGGTGTCCAGCCCAGTCTTTCTGTCTGACGTCAACCAGACAAGACAGACAAGTGTGCCTGTCTGCAGCCGCCCCACAAGGTCCTGGGATGCTGAACAACAGAGCTTGCTGGTCCCAGGCACTGTCTCTGGGGAGCTAAGGCTTCCTTGTGTCTCCTGCTTGATGAAGGTGCAGTTCTCAGGATCAGTGTGCACCAATGCAGGCTGGGACTGCGCCCGAGGGGACCACATTGAGGCATGATTATAAGCAATGCTGTCTCCATTCTCAAAGGGGATGAATCAGTATTCAGCCTCACTGAAACTCACACGCCATCTCTCCCAGAAACCCAGGATTCACCCACTCCACCCTTCCCCTGATATCCCCACAGATACAGCACCCCATGAATCCCACATCTCTTACACCACAGCCATGTCATTCCTTCAGGTTCCCCTCCCCCACCCTATCTGCTGCCACAGTGACCTTGTCCTTCCAAAGTTGCTCCCAGTTCTCAGCCTAAACATGAGATAGTGGCTTCAAGATAAATTTCCACATCAGGGCCTTGGGGCCTCCCACACCTCACTTTCCGACTAGGCCAGTCCCACTGTTGTCTGTCCCTCACTAGTCGAGGCCCACACCTACATCCTTCTGCTTTGGGGGCTGTCTGCTTCCTCCACTTGTCCAGGAAACTCTATGATGGGTAACGTCTTCTATCTTTAAGTCAATAGAGTTTACATGGTGCTGGGAGCACAGACTGTGAATCTCCTTAGGTTGCTGACAAACGTGACTAGCCTGTGTGGTCACAGACCCCTGAGCAAATATCAGCAGCCCCCGTATGCCTGTACACCCTGCCCCCCTCTACCAGGAAGACCTACTTCCGGGCCCCATAAATCTGCCCCTTCCACGAGAAGCCACTCTGCCACAGATTATCTCAAGCCCTGTATGAACTCTTTTGTGCCTGTAGCAGGCCCCATATTCCTACTCTACGTGGAAAGAGAAGGCTGGGGAAGGCCTGTGAGATCTGAGGGCCCCTGGAGGCAGTCTGTGGCTGCCAGCACTTTTGTGCCTGACTTCAGATTGTTAGGCCTTAAGAAAGCTGTCTCCACGATGTGGGCAAGGGGGTGGTCCCTAGGGCAATGGTGACACAGACATGCTCCTGCAGACACGGGTGGCAGGGGGATGTGCCTGAGCGGCTCCAGAGAACTTTCAGGGTCCCTTGCTTTCAGGATCCTGATTGGCAACCTAAGGGACAGCAGGACAGAGCACTGTGGCTTTTGTTCTATTCTCCTAGCGCAGCATAGGCTCCACTTAAGGGCAATTTGTTCCTTTCAAAGGGATTCCAGCTGGTTAAATTTAAGGTGAAGAATAAGCCTTAGTCAAGATGCTTCTTAGGGCTTTTCAGTTTTCGTTGGCTGGAGAACGGGGATACATTTTCAAATGTTGGCCACTTAATGTTTGTCAGAAGGAACACCAGGGGAGGGAACCCAAGGGGGGAATAGTACCCGCTAACCAGCCTGTTCTTGGCTCTCAGCTCTCAGTCACAGATGGCACGGGAGGCATCTCGTTTCCTAAATTCCTTTGCCTCCTCAAGGACCCCTGACTTTCTCCACATTCCTTTCTACCTCCCCCTCCCACTCCTAGCCAGCTTCACCTGGGCAGAGAATACTTTCCTGAGCCCCCGGTCTCAGCAGCTTTCCTTCAGTGCTGAGGACACCAAACAACTTAATGGGCAAGCAGTGAGGCTTACTGTTTATAGTTCAGACACCAGGAAACGCTTTTCTGCATGCCATTCATTTTCATTCATCCATCCATCTATCCACCTACTCACTCACCCATCCATTCACCTGTGCATCCATCCATCCATCCATCCATCATCCATCCATCCACATGTCCACCCATTCATCCTGCCACTTAACTCTCTGCCCATCTATATATCTATCCATACAGTTATATGTCTATCCATCCATTTATCCACCCACCTATCTGCTTGCTACCATCCATTTATCTACCTACTCATCTATCCATCTGTCCATTCACCTGTTCACCATTCATTGATAGATCCATCCATCTGTCCATCTGTCCATCCACTCTCATCATTTACTCCCTTTTTACCCAATCAGCCAGCACAGTCTGCCATGCCAACGGGGACTGCAAGAGAGTCAGTGTTTACAAGGTGGTCACTGTGGTACAAGATACGAATGAGCAGCAGAAGGAGTGAAAATGTTCTGTCTAGAAGGTAGGGGATACTTAGAGAGCTCGGAGCAAGACATTATCAGCAAGAATGGACAGTGGAGTTCAGAGCCAGTAGTCGGGGAGGGCTTCCTAGAGGAGGAAGTAAAGCTCAAAGATGGGAGATGCCTGTGCAATGGTATGGAGAGGCAGAAACCCCCCTCCAAACACCAGCCCCCCAAGATGGGGCAACAGAGGTCTGCCCTATGCCTAAGGCACTCCTGCCAAGGTCTCAGAGCTTGCTTGGCAGGGTGGGGGTGAGGTTTCCCTGGGCAGGTCCTCTGACAGTTGCAACTCTGGTGACTTAAATTCAGCCACTTTGGAAATGAGGTAGTATTTCCACTAAACCGTGTGCCAACTCTTGCCTTTTCCCGTCAATGCTGAGGAAATAACTTCCTCTTCTAGAGGAAGAGTCAAGTCTTTCTTACCCACACCTGACTCTTGAGGTACTCTGTTCCAATATGGCACCTCTTCCTCTCCAGCTCCATCTGTTTCTACAGCTGTCTCTTCCCTGAAACTCTTCAAGGGAGTTCCAGCTGCCACCTTCTTTAAGGACAGCCCCTATTGTCCTTCCCCCCTCCTTTCCACCTTCGTCAGAGGAGCTTGCTCTCATCATCCCCTCCTCCAAATCTCCCTCAGAGCCCTTGGAAGTGATTGGCCACTGGAGCCCAGGGTTCTAGAGTTGGACAGACCTAGGTGTTGAGCCTGGCACTGCCACTGCCCAGCTCAGCACTGGCTAGATCCTTACACCCATCAGAACAGCCCTTGTTTTCCCCACAACTCCCACCCTTCTCACAAGCAGTTCCTGATGTTCCTTTGGGGACCTAGCACAGAAGACTGGAGCCACTGTTTGGTCTGGGGACTAGCAGAATGTCATCCAGTAAGGATCCTGGTACTTACCACTAATCCCTTAACAAAGGCAAATACTTAGTTCGCACGCAGGCTTGATGAGAGAATTGAATGTGCCCACAGTTTAAATAGGACGCACATGAAAAGCCACACGGTGCAAGCTTTACAGTACCCCTGGCTTGACCTTCTCCTGAGTCTGTTATGTTTTTCAGAAAGCATTAGATCTGTAATAGCACAGAACTCCCTTTTCTTCCTGTTCTCGGCTTCCACCAAATCTCCCTTGGTGAGTCTGGATTCTCCTTGGTAGCATAAAGTCTCTTTTCTCTCAGTTCTACCCTTCACCTCCAGGCTGAGACAGTAGATTTCAGGACTTGGCAGAGACCCCCACTTCTCTGGTATGCATCCACACCCCAGGACACCGAGTAAACCCAGGGAAACCAGACTCCAATTGGTCTCCAGTTCCTCCCTCCAGAGAGGTCAGGAACTTGGCAGTCTACACCTCCACCTAGTGGGCCCCTGCAGCAATAGCAACACAGAGCTGGAGACTCCCTCGGGATTGATGAACTAATAAATTACGATGAAGCCCAAGGTCTCATCCTACAGGGATATGCTGGTTTCCACAGAGTACGTTGGGCCGGTGTGGTGGGTGGGGCTGGAATCTAGCCCAGCATGGCAGCAGTAGCTGCCCTTTCTCTGTTTCTCTTGACTCCCTGTAGGCATGACATTGGCTGAGGTCTTCAGCTGGGGGGGGGGCATTGCTGCTCCGTCTCCTGGAGGGAATGCTGCACACTGGGAAGGTTGTGTGTTGTCACAATTGTACACAGGAAAGCTTAGCCAGCACAGCTTCGTATAGCAGCCACATCAACTGTGAGACGTCACATTTGATCTCCAATAGTGAAAACACTTGGAGGGAGACAGACAAACCAGACCCAGCCACGTGAGCAATCCTGGTGAGGCTGCTGCCCAGGCAGTTTTGCCAGGTCTGTCACACCTCAACCATGATCTGCCTGACCAGGGTGGCAGGGGGCCTCTGGGGCTGCACAGGGGAGGAGAAAGAACCCTGTAGTCTCTTCCTGCCCTACTGCACAGAAGGGTCAGCACCTTCTGTCTACCCACGTGTGACTTGCCACGTCACAGCCATGTCACTTCTGAACACTGGTACCCTCGCCTAGCAGAGAACAGGACCAGCCTCAGCCATTGATGCTCTGTGGGCTCTGTCTGGGCCAGGAGACAACAAGAGGACAGCAACAACCAGAAGAAGGAACTAGGGAAACTTCCTACTTCCCTGTTTCCCATTTGCAAGGTCTGTCCCTAAGCTCTCTGGACCTTCAAACCCAAGGAAGTTTCCAGAACAAGTATCAACAATTATTTCCCAAGGGAAGAAGTAGTTAGTCCCAGTTCCTAAAACACTCTGGTGTTCTGTTTTAGATAATTTCAAACACCAGAAGGACAGATTTCATGCTGCAGGAATCCAGAGCTTCAGTCATGGGTCCACTGGAGGAAAGACACACCCTCTAGGCCAGTGGTTCTTAACTTGTGGGTCACGACCCCTTTGGAGGAGTGTCAAATGACCTTCTCACAGGGGTCACCTAAGACCATCTGCATATCAGATATTTACATTATGACTCATAGCAATAGTAAAAATTGCAGTTTTGAAGTAGCAACAAAAATAATTTTATGGTTGGGAGTCACCACCATATGAAGAACTAGGAATAGGATTAGGGATAAGGAAGGTTGAACACCACCGCTCCAGGCAATAGCAGCCTGACTCCTACAAACCTGGCGCTGGGAACTCTGCTTGACGCTCCAAGTTCCCAAGAAAAGTGAGCTAAAGGCAAGCCAGGGACCCACGTTCCGCTTCACCCAACCCAGTTCACTCACATCCAAAGCCGCATGGAACTTGACTATCGGCGACTGCCAGGTCATGATCTTCTGTCTGTATAGGTTACACTTAGGAACAATTTTACAGCTGATGTTCCCCATCTCCATGTAGAAAACTTCAAGGTTCCTATGAAGAGAAGGGCAGTCACGTCGTGCCAGGGTTTCAGCGAATCCTGCAGTCCAGCACCGCTGGACATGCAGAGTTGAGAGGAATTAAATTCTAAACCTGACAACCAACCAGCTGTGTGACCCGAGAGCTGTGTGACTGAGACCCGACACTTCTGTTCTAGGTCTCCTTGCCTAAGACAGGGACAGTGCCTACCTCATGGGGTTGGTGTGAAGACACAGCACTAGTCAATGGGTAGAGCAAAGTCTGGCGCGCTATGAGTGGCCCAGGAAAAACAGAGTCGAGTCATCTTTAGTATGCCAGAAATCAGCTCACTTTCAGATGTATGTAATCCCTTAAGAAAGTGGTATGATGTCTGCATTAACACCACACACACACACACACACACACACAGAGAGAGAGAGAGAGAGAGAGAGAGAGAGAGAGGGCGGGGGGGGGGGGAGGGAGAGAGAGAGATATCACTTCTGTAGTGTTTATGATGCATACAGCAAAATTGCTGTATGGCAGTATCCTTTAGGAAACGAAGACAAAGGGCTGTACACGCTCAATACCTAAGCAATGTGTGTGTGCAAGTGTATGCATATATGTATGCACGTGTGTGCTTGTGTATGTGTGTGTATCTATATATGTGTCTATACATGTGTATAGGTGTTTCTGTGTATATTGTTTATGTGTATGCATGTGTATGTGCTTACACTTTTATATGTATGCATGTGTGTATGCACATGTGCATGTGTGTTACCCAGGGATTTGTACATCCCAGGGAAGCACTCTACCTCTGAACTGTACTCTCATAATCTCTGCCCTTTTTTTTCTTCCTTTCTCTTTTTGAGATAGGGTCGTTCTATACACCCCAGGCTGTTCCTGGTCTCTTGTGTTCACATACATGCTGAAATAGGAAGCTGGGCTGTCCTCTGTGCCACTGCGACAGTGTTTGGCTTAAGAAATGTGTGAGAAGGCCTGAATCAGAGGTGGCCCCTTGACCTAAACATTTCTAACTCATGATTGGTTGAACCCACAGATGTGGAACCTGCTGACGGAATAGAAAATTGAATGGATTGGGCCTTCTATTAGGACGCCATGCCTGAGCTAATCAGAACATTCTTATCACACAAAGACCAGGGGTTGTGCTCCCCAGCCTTTCCCAGGAGCCCAATACAGCTGGGCTACTCCCTAAATAGACAATGGCTATTTACAGCACCATGCCCTGCTGGGGTGTTACCTGAAGGACACCCAGGGAGAATGTAATTTGAGAATCATATCTTCAGGAGAATTTCTGTAGGCACTGAGAGGAGGCCAAATGCAGTTTTATCTCAGAAGCCCCAAGGATGGGGTTTCTGGTGGGTTTGGAGGATTAGCTGTAAATCTATAGGGTCTTCCACTCAGCACTTGCTCTGTTGAGTTGGTCTCCAGTCTTTATGCCTGTTCTCACAAAAGCTGGCTAAGCCATGGGGGCCATTCTAGATTCACACTCCAGGAGGCCACCCCTTCCCGCCCTACCTGCCCTGCTTACCTGCATAGTGAAACATCTTCTTTTGGCAATGGCGGGAGAAAACATCCTCTTCCTGCTCCTCCTCCACCACCACCTCCACCGCCTCCACCGCCTCCTCCAGGTTTCCCTCCTCCTTCAACGTTCTGGGACTCAGATGTCATTGAGAGGCCCACCCACAGGCCGGCTGCAAGGAGACTCAAGCAAAATGCTGCTGCAACCAGCTTCATTGTCATAGTCCTTGGCAACTAAAAGCAATGACAAAACAAAACAAACAAGCAAACAAATAAAAAACCTGGAGTGATTCTGTGACTCTATGCAGGGACTCTCTCCCCCACTTAGGCCCCTGCTCCAGGGATTCTCCTGGTAGCCAGAGCTCTGTCTGAGAAGCACTACAGAAGGGTGCCAGAATCTGGGCTCCAGCCATTGGTCCACTACCCAGCTGTATATACTTTGGGAGGACTTGGACCTGCTCCAAGCTGGACTCTGTTTACTATCCTGGCTGAAGTCCCTCCCTGGCAGGACATAACTTTGTTGTCCCTCTTCAGGCTGCTAGCTCTGAAGAAGAGTATGTAAAATAAATAAATAAATAAATAAATAAAGCTTGACAAATACGTTTAGAGTCCAAGCTTTGGGCTTCAGCTCTGGGTTTAATTGATATATATATATATATATATAGCTTCATCTCCTTCATCTGCTTCATCACCAGCTTCTCTGCTACCTGTGTCCATAGCCTCTGGGCCACCAGAACGCTGAGATGATCCCTAGGTAAGAGGGACTGACTGCTATGCAGGATGGGGCCGATTACTCAGACACCAGCTCTAAAATGCCACCTGGGCATACACCTGGCTGTGCCTTGCAGTGTGCTGAGCTCAGCACACTCCCAAAATAACAGCATCTGAGGAAGTGAGCAGGGTAGAGCTTAAAGGTGCAGGAAGAGACTGTCCAAATCTGAGCAGGGAATAAAGGTTCCTGGGCTGAAACACTGCTCCTCCTCAAAGTAGCCCTTCAGTGGGGCTTGACGTAGGGAACTCTGATTGGTGTCCACAACAGGGGCTGGACAGTGTGATCTGGGCTGTTGATCCCAGGGACTGGGGACTTTGGACTCCCACCTTATGCTCTAGTAACTGACAAGCTGATAGGGAGGACTTTTCCTCACTGAGTTACACCACCAGAGCCCCCTCACTAGAGCCAGTCAAAAGCCCCTGACACCTTCAGCCCTCACTTTCGAGAGTAAGATGGGAGGGTGTGGTGCCTGATTCTGAGTGGAACTCTTTTCTGCTCCTGCTTCCAGGACCCAGTCTCTAGCAGGGAAGCCTTCCTTCTGGTTCTACAAATTAAAAGAGTTTTTTAAGTCTCATATTCTGAAGCATGACAAGCATGCATGACTCTCCAGCCTAAGAACTTACTGTCAGGACCACCTGAAGAAGGAAAGGACATGTCAAGCATTGAAAAGGGAGGAGGTCCTGTAGTAAGTGCTCATTTGGGGTAAGCTAACCACTCCTTAGATGCATCAATCCACCCAACCCTCAACTATCTATCTATCTATCTATCTATCTATCTATCTATCTATCTATCATCCACCCAACCACCCATTCAACTGTCTATCTATCTATCTATCTATCATCCACCCAACCACCCATTCAACTGTCTATCTATCTATCTATCTATCATCCATCCACCCAACCACCCATTCAACTGTCTATCTATCTATCTATCTATCTATCTATCTATCTATCTATCTACACATGCATTCTTCCACCCATTTACCCATCCATCCATCCCTCTATCTAGTTATGTGCCAGGTTATGGCAGATGGCCCAATTGTTGTGCCTGTTCTCACAAAGCTTATAGGTCATCCAGAGCCAGAGGATGGTATTGCTTGGGGAAGATGGCAGCTGAATTCCTGGTACCCTTTCTCAAACTAGAGAGAGCAGAATAAACATTCCTTTCTTTAACCATCTGGAGATAGCCCACACGACTGTCATCTAACTCAAGTCTAACTGAGGAAAGACATGACAGGGACTTTGGACCCATAGATACCTGGGACAAAGATGACAGATTGAAATAGAGCTCAGAAGGAGCATCTGGGGATGAGCTGCTTTGGAAATGAAGATATTCAAAAGTATCTGTGTATAGAAGAGTTGAGAAATCCACATTCAGGTCCATATGTGATCTCTGCTTTCTTGTAGCCTTATTCCTAGGCTCAGATCAAGTCCCAAGCCCAGGCAAGAATGACAGCCTGGAGACGGGGGAAAGCTCACAATGTGAGCAAGCCAGGTACTTTGATCATTCAATCTTCATGTCAAGCTTTTGAAATAGAAACTGGGCAGCATCACTCACTCCTAAGATAAACCAAAAGAGACCTAGCCTGAGACACGTGTTTGAACAACTGAAAAACCAAAGAGAACAAGAGAGAACCCCTTGAAAGAAGCAGGAAAAGATGTGACTTGCTCTGTACAGAATCCTCAATAAACATTGCCAGACAACTCCTCATGAGGAATCTGGGAGGCCAGTCAGAAACTGGATAGTGCATTTCCAGTGGCAAAACAAGCAAAGAACAAACAAACCAACAGTCAACCAAGAATTCTATAATCCAGTAAGACTATCCGCAAATGGGCGGGAGAAATTAATCATGTGGCTAGATAAACAGATAAGGAGGGAATTCTTTGTCAATGGTACTATATTGCAAGAGATGTGAACCAAATGTTCAGGTAGAAATAAAACAAACAAACAAACAAAGTAAATTAGATGGAAAATAGATATGAAGCTACCCATCAGAGGCAAAAATAAACAAAAATAAAAGTTTGCTATTTCCATGTTAATGTGTAGCTTTCCCTTTTAAGTACAAGCTTAAAAGACAATAAATATGAGGAATCATAAATCTTTATCAGCAGCTAAACATCACCTAGAGGTATAAATCATTACATCAGCAACATAAAAAATGGAGGACAACAGAGAGCTCAATAGAAACATGTTTTTGTAAGTAATTGAAGTTACATGCATCTATTCAAGCTGGATTGTGATAGCTTTTAAAGTCTATGTGATCCACGTGATAACCACAAAGTAAATCTGTACAATATACACAAAAGGAGAATAGAAGTTAATTAAATGCTTCACCTCAAAAAAAAAATCAATTGGTCACATGGAAGAGTGGAAATGGAGTAGGGGAAGCTAAAAAACAAATTTTTAAACATGGCAAAGCAAGTCATCGACTATAAGTAACTACTTTAAATTTAAATTGCCCAAGTTTCCAAGTTAAAACTTGCAGGTAAAATTTATAGATGGGCAGGTTAAAGAGAACATGAGAACATGATTTTACTCTAGTGTGATGATATACACCTTGAAAGAGGCAAACCTGGTCTACATAGCCTGTCCAGGCCAGCCAGAGATACACAGTGAGACTATGTCTCAAAACAAACAACTCCCACCACCACCCATGGTGGTTAAGATGGCTCAGTGGTTAAGAGCGCACGCTGTTTTTGCAGAAGACAGGGATTTGGTTGTTAGTACCCACATGTGGCAGCTAACAACTGACTGCAACTCCAGTTACAGATGATCCAGCACCCCTCTTTAGATCTCCACAAGCACTGCATGCATGTGGTGCACAGACATACACTTAGATAAAATAGCCATACACATAAAGAGTGATGGAAGGGGATGTCTCAGCGGGCCCATGCGGAGGCATCTCTTCCCCCTGAGGGACCAGTCACACACTGGTATAGTATAGAATAGAGTTTATTCAGGGCATTGGGAGGGGAGCCAGGAGGGTAGTAGAGGCAGAAAGAGAGAGATAGAGAGAGAGAAGAGAGAGAGAGAGAGAGAGAGAGAGAGAGAGAGAGAGAGAGAGAGAGAGAAGAGAGAGAGAGAGAGAGAGAGAGAGAAGAGAGAGAGAGAGAGAAGAGAGAAGTAGAGGAGTAGAGGCCGACCATGACCACGTGGAGAGAGGGGGAGGGGAAAGGGGCGAGGAGGACAGAGAGAAGCTAGAGGCAAGAGAGCAGGAGAGCAAGAGATTAAGAGAGAGAGGAGGGGGCAAGCAGCCCCTTTTATAGTGGGCAGGCCTACCTGGCTGTTGCCAGGTAACTGTGGGGAGGAGCATACCTGGCTGTTGCCAGGTAACTGTGGAGGTGGAGTTTAGACAGAATACTAACAACTACTAACCAGATGATTGCTATCATCAGGTTATGTTTGGGTGTTAGATGCTTGGTTTCTGTTGTGACTATGTTGGAAACTAAGAAATGAAGAACCTGGGCTGAAGAGTTGACTCAGTGGTTAAGAATACTCATTGTTTCCAAAGATCCAGTTTTGATCTCCAGCACCCACAGGGAGACTCAATGCCTCCTCAGATACCAAGAATATATATGGTGCACAGAGGCAGACAAGTCTAAAAACTGAAGAGAGAAAGAAAGGAGGGGGGGAACCATAGTCTAGCATGGTGGTACTTGTCTATAATCTCAGTACTTGGTGGGAATTGAGGCAGGAAGATTGTCGATGGGACTACAGGAATGAGCTCTAGACCTGCCCAGGTTACATATAGGGACCCTTTCTCAAGAAAAATTGAAACAACAAGAAAAACAAAACAAATGAACAAAAAAAAAAAACCACACACACACACCCAAAAAACAAAGGAAGAGACTAATAAGAAGCTTTAGTGATTAAGGGCCCCATCCTGGGAAGGAGCTAGTGTTTCCTATTAGAAGCAAGTGAGTCTGAGAGGCCACCTTCTGGCTTCTTGCTTTAGATGCTCTCTAAGTCTTACACTGGATCCACCATTTTGGTGCTATGTGATGCAGCCAGGGGATTGTTAGTACAATGCTCTTGCACCCACAAAACTATAAGCTAAATGAACCCCATTTCTTTATAAAGTAACTACCCTTGGGTATTTTATGTTAACAGCAGACAACACACTAATACAAAGATATAACAATTATAAATATATATATATATATATATATATATATATATATATATATATATATA